CTTTACCACTGAGCTACGTCCCTAGGCCTTTTTATTTTATAAAATAGGGTCTTACTAAGTTGTCCATGTTGGCCTTGAACTTGCAATCCTGCTTCAGCCTCCCAAGTTGTTAGGATTACAGGCATGTACCATCATGCCCAACTTCCTTACCCACTTCTGAGTGGGGGGGTAGATCTAAGCAGATTTACAACAAAGTATGTCTCTGTCTTCCCGTTTCTCTTCTTGCTCCTCATCCTTAGTATCTATTGTTTCCCCCAGGTATCTAGTGCCCTCTGCTGTCCCTCTCACAATGACTTTGCCTCTCCTCCATTTGTTCAGCATACATGTCATACACACCAAATGCAGGAGTATGTACTATAACACAAATGATATTGGTGGGATTCAAGTAAAAATGGGAAATTCATACAGTTTTGTGGACATTATGGGGACTGGGACAAAAAGAGTCTTAAAATACAGCCATCCACTCCGGGGACTTTATTAAGATCTACTAGCTAGACTTCTAACTGATTTAAAAGACATCTTTGCCCTAAAAGCCCATGTGCTTTTCTAGGTGGCTGTGGACAGAAGCTGGAGCCCAGAGTGAACTTGAGAACGCACTGGGTATTGGAGGGTTTGGATACCCTGCCATGGCAGCCATCAATGCACGCAAGATGAAATTTGCGCTTCTAAAAGGGTCTTTCAGTGAGCAAGGCATTAATGAATTTCTCAGGTAATTTCTTATTTCCTTAGTTGTTTATTGTTTGATCTATTTGGTTCTATTGTGGTTTTTCATTTTAAACTAGGTATGTATAAACCAGCAATAAATGGAATTATTTTTTATTCAAACTTACAATTCTGTGTTCCTAAAGTAGAGCTTTTAAATTGGTTTCCTATGCTTTATTCTCTTTTCTTGGAAATACTCTACATAGTGTGCATAGTCATCCTCAGGCCTCCTTGTTGCCCTTCTGTGCACCTGGCCTTGGGTTCATTCCAGTTCTCATAAAGCTACATCAGCCCTGTCTCACCCATTCCCACCCTAGTGTGCTTTGTACTGCTGACCTCAGGTGATGTGGTTTCCATTTCTGGTTTTCATTCGTTTTGGAATGAGTTACTTGAAAATGGGTGTGCTTACTTAAGTCACTCCCTCATTGTGCAGACAACATGCATTCTCAAGTCACAGCCATTTATAGAACTGACTCTCCTCTGCTATGCAACTTATGCTAAAACTGCCTTGATCGTGTTTAGGCAAATATGAAGCCTTGCCCAAAGAGATTTTGTTTACCAATTCTTGCTTCCTTCTTTGTTCATTTCTCAGCCACTATATGAAAAAAATGACATAAGTTTTATACACATGCACACACCCCACCTCCTTATTTATTTTAATGGGATACTAGTACTACCTCTTGTAGGACTCCTATATAGACTTTGGTAACTATATAGTTACCAGAAAAAGTGCCAGGGACAGAGTACACATCTACATGTAGCTGTTACTTTTAAAATCTTAGAGTATTACATCCATCATGATTTGAATAATGGGAAGAAGGAGTTACATTAGAGGGTTTGTTGTAAATCTGCTCGTTTAGAAATTATTAGAAATAAAGCGGAAGGTAGGTGTATGTGAGAAGCAATAAACATGACATCAAAGTGGACATTTTAGGGCATCTTTTTAGTTTGCATTTGCCCTAAGCATTGTAACAAATGGAACTCACGGTATTACATTTTTCCTCTTTTTTTTTTCCTTAATTTTTTTTTTTTGAGTTATTATGGAAAAATTCAATCATTGCAAAAGCAGAGAAACTAAAGGTCTTTTTTTCTACTTGTTTTCAACTTCAACAGCTAGCAACTAAAGCCTTATATTATCATCTGCTTCTACCAACAATATTTTAAAGCAAGTCCCCTCCTGTCAGCTGTAAAATATTTTATCATGTACTGCTAAATGACAGCTTTCAAAGACAGTCATAGTATTAATATTGTACCTTAAACAACTAAATGATTTGAACTGTTAGTCATCTTAATTTTATGGTTTATTTCATTTCCAAATGAAACTATACATTCTTGCCAGTTAATGGGGTGTTTTCATACAAAGTTGAGGGACTGCTTAAGTTTGTGATTTGTCAGAGTTCTGTTTATTCAGTTGTAAAGTCGGGATTTTCAGAATTTGAATACAGCTAAATCTTGTTGCTGTTACTTCATCCAGTTAATTTCACTGCTGTTGCCTTGAGTTTCTGTGAGTTGTTGGATGGTCTCTATGTATCTGCACTGACAGTATTTTGAGCTCTGGTTTTCCAGTGGCCAGATTACAAGAAGCCTATGGTATTTTTCAAGTGCAAATGCTCACGCCTCACTGCTAAACAGATATGTACACCAGCTCTTTGCCAGCCCTAGCCCTGGGTTTGCTAAAACCACTCACCTCACTAGTGAGTTGACATGCTCTATACAGTTCACAGTCTTAGAAAACAACATTCACTGGTAGCCAGTGTTCTAAATCAACCTGGGTATGTTGTATGTACTTTTATTAAGGCTGCACAGCTTCTAGGTTTTTAAGAACTGTCTGATGCCTGGCTTTAGCAGATGCAAAGGCCTCAGGAGCATCCTTTCTGGCTCTGTGGTCCTTGACTGGAAAATAATACTGTTCACCAGCTGCCTTTCAGGAACATACGATAGCAAGAAATGCCTCGCACACACAGGGGACATGTCATTCCTCTGCTCATCCTTTTGGACAGTTCATTGATCAGTAGTCCATCATAAATGCGTGTATTCTGGTCTTTTTCCCCAAGGGAGCTGTCTTTTGGGCGTGGCTCCACAGCACCAGTGGGAGGTGGTGCCTTTCCTGCTATCACTGTAAGAGAGCCCTGGGATGGCAGGGACGGTGAGGTAAGTGCTGGTCAAGGCCAAGCTGCCCAGTTGAAAAAGTCCCGTTTTCTTTCCTGAGGCTTGTGTGTTTCTGTGGCCAGACCCTGGGCTGGGAGCTCCTAGTGTTCTGAGTCCTGTACCTCTCCAGAGGCTCTTTCCCTAAAGATGCTCTTGCCTATCACATGAAAGAGCTGCACAGCCTTTTGGGTTGTCACCAGTGACCATTTATTAGGCTGTCTGGTTATTCAATTAGCGCAAAAAAAAAAAAAAGTTTTTTTATGTTTCACTGATCGCCTTAAATTCCCATAGAGACACAAGCAGCAGCTTACCAAATAGTAGGCAGTTTGGATCTATGTAAATCTGGGTAAGCTTGACAAATGTCCACCTTAAAGTCTAGTGGTAAGGCCGCTTTCCTTATTGTTCCCCCTAAGGTAAACACATGACCTGGAATTCATATATTTTGTCTCTGAGAAATGAAAAACAATTCTTCAAATTCACATTTCTATACAATTCTGTCCCTAGTACCCTCCCCTGGCTTCCCAGTTCTCAGCGTTTACATCTCTATGATAATGGGCACAGAGGAAAAGGAAGAGCTGGCCAAGGGGACACGAGCCTGCCATCTGGGGACCTCTAGAACTTAGTTTGTTCCTTGTTACAAGAGAGGGAGGACTGTCGGGGGGTCTCCACCTGCAGCTCTGACCATGGCTTTCTGTCTCCCAGCTTCCTGTGGAGGATGACATTGACCTCAGCGATGTGGAGCTTGATGACTTGGAGAAAGACGAATTGTGAGAGCCACAGCCCAGGCTTCAGATCATTTTCTTTTCTTGAGAGTGAACAGATTTTTCCAGCAGTGAAGAAACATTCTTTACAATCCGACTAATCTACCAGGGGCCTTTTTAACCAGGAAGTAACACTTGATTGGTCATTTGAAAGCACTGCGACAGTAAGCTTTTGCATCTCAAGAAAACTTTGAAAAATTCTATGAATTGTTGTAGCCAGTGAATTGGATTGTATTCTCACATAATATTTTGAAGAAAACTGGGCTGTAGAAACATTTCCCTCCCCCTGATGGCTGCTTGAATGTTCTTGGAGGTTGTTTCTTATATATAGGTTTTTTTAAATGTGATTCCTCATTTGAATATCAATGGCTTTTTCCATTAAAGAATAAAATGATATTTTGGACAATGCCAATACATGTATGAAATTAGTGTCCACATCATACAGAGTCAGATGTTCAGCAGTAAATTAATGTCATGAACTGATGACCCTGGCTCCTTCTCCCCATGAACCTTTTTTAAAACGGAAAACAAGACCTCTTTGACTCAAATGCTGCCTTGGGATGCCCACAATGCAGAGTGCACAAGGGAACTTGCTTGTCAGATGAGATCTGCTTCTCCTGCTCCCAAATTTGTCTTTGGGCTGTCACCAGTGACCATTTATTAGGATACCTGGTTATACAGTTAGCTCAAGGTATTTTATGTTCCTACTGATCTCCCTTAGAACTTAGTTTGTTCCTGTGCTACAGGAACAAACATGAAAGCAGCAGGTTACCACATTATAGGTCATTCAGACTTACGTAAACAACTCAGAAAAAAATCAAGTTTTGAATTATGTTAGAACATAAGAGACTTCAAAGGACTGAGCATTTTATTGTAACTTAAAAAAATAAATACACTGTAACTAACTTTTGTGAGCACTTTCTCTGAAAATCACAGTTCTGTAGGCCTTCATCCTTTGCCTTAGAGAAAGCAGTGTCTGCACCGACAGCCTGCCTGTGAAGCCAGCTGTGCCTGCTGGCCTTCCTAGTCAAGAAGGCCGAGGTCAATGTGGAAGTAGACGTAGGGGAAGTAGTCTTGGTTACTGAGTTGCAGCCCAGGGATCTCCACAGACGCCTAGGAGAGAGGACACGGTAGTGTTCTTAGTATAGAAACAGCTTTTCCTTTGTATTTTTGAGGAAACTTTCCAGGCACTGACCACATGTTTGGGCCTGCACAGTGCTTCTCTCTCACACACAAACACACACACACACTCAGCCCTCCTTGGTGTGCCTCCATGTTTGTGAGGGTAGGTTTTCCCAACAGGTTGGCAAATGCCTTATGTTTCAAGTGTCCATCCTGTGGATATCCTGGCCACAGGCTTGGGTTAGATACCTACATCCAGGATACTTGCTGCCGCCACTTCATCCAGGTGCCGGAAGACAGAGTTCAGCACCTCCCTCAAGCGTTTGGTGGCTGACTTCTTGTGAGGCTGCAGGAGCACTGCCTGGAAGTTCACTGGCAGCCCGTACCTGCCCAGACAGACAGGCATTCAGCTACTGAGCACAGACCCAGGAAGACGAGTTTGACAGAAATAAAGGAGTTCCAAGAATGAGCAGCTTCAACCAGTGTAGCTTGAAGAAAAAAGGAACCTCAGCTGGGCGAAATGACCAGGGTCAGAGGTGAGACTGACCTCTAGACCTCTGCACAGAAAAAGCTGTAGAGCATGCTCAGGACTATTGGTGAGCAGTCGCTCCCTGGCCACCGACAGGATGCCTCACACTCACTCAGGGTTTGGCTTTCAGACAGGCCTGCTGTGGACTGAGTCACAGGGCAGCACCTGTTGGCACTAGTGCACTCAGTCAGACCCTCACTGCAAGCCTTCCTGGGCCTCACTTCATGCAGAGGGTTCCTGGGATACAGAGCTCTCCCATTAGAGCTGCAGAAAGGCCATGTGAACCGGTCAGTGAAGCAGCCACAGGTGCTCCTGCTTGGCTGACAGCACAAGCCCAACCTCTTCCTGCTGCCTTTACTTCCTAGAAGCAGGTGCCATAGTGGCTGGCAGGGTTACTGGCATTTGGGTAGATCCCAGGTGAGAGGATAGGCCCAGTTAATTGCCCCCCATTCCTTTTGTTCCATCTGTGGTCAGCAGAGAGGCTGCTGTACCCTCTGGAGAGCCCTCTACCTTGGATGTGCTGCTCAGCTCCTTCCTAACCAGCTCCCATGGCTGGCATCAAGCACTGCAAACCTTGACTCCACCTGGTGGCCTCCTGTGCAGCCTCAGGTGGCAGAATCCCTAACCCACGCCAGGCAACACGTCTGCTCCTGAGGCAACTGCTAGGCTCTTGCTCTGCCACTAGGATGCAACCCTTCCATTTGCCACCCTGCTGTGTCATCCTTCAGCCTGGTCACCCACCAGTCAAGGCCACTTCAGCCTGGAGGTAGCTTCAGGTCCCCCATCTTTCAAGACCCATCTAGTCTGCTTTCTGCCTCTTGGTGGCAGCATCCCTGTCCTACGCCTTCCCCGTCTCCCAGAACGTGGCCTCCAGCAGTAGCTGTCCAGCTCTCCTCCTCAGACAAGATGCTGCCCAGGCTGTTGCCCTGGCCTGCCTGGGAGAGGAGCCACCACTTCATGATGGTGGAGGTCACTGGTGGGAGCTGTCCTGTTGCTGCAGAACTTAGCCTTTCCCCATTACCATCCCCTTCCCTTTACCATAGTGACTTCATACCTATCAAACATGAAAGCTTCTCAACTCCAGAGCTTTCGTACTCAGAGCCAAATCTGAGAGTAATGTCCTACATCACTTCAACCACTGCCCTTCAGCTTCTCTCAATGACCTCCTAAAGGCCAAATCCAAAGGACATGCTAAACCTCAGCCTTTCATCCTGCTCCCTCCTCCCACCATGGACTTCTCCATTCACCCCTTAAATGTCAGGGCTCCCCCTTGGCACTTTTCCTCCATGCAGCTCTCCGAGTGATCTCATTCCCCAAACCTACCACCACGATAGTATCTTTTCCCCACCAAAACCCAGCTCCCAGCCAGCTGCAGTAACCTCATCCCAGCCTGTTGCTCTCAGCACCTGTTCCATCTGCGTCTTGGGTCACTGAAGCATCTGGTGTCCTTCATCCATGAGGGCAAGCCAGCACCTCCTCAACTGAGGGCTGTGTCCCCTTTACCTGGATTTTATTCAACCAAGAAACATTTCCATCGACCCTAGGCTGGATAACAGATGGAGAGAGGAGCCAGACTTCCCACTGCAGGGGGGACAAAAGCCACAAGCAGCCAGGAGTGAGCCATGGTGCTAGATGGGGGCCCGGGAGGCGGTGGCTCACTTCCTCCCCTTACATGTCTTTCCTCCAAGGATCTTGTTGGCTCCCTATGTCTTTAGATTATGGTATCTCCATGTGGCAGGCTATGAGAAAGCCTTCCAAAAGAATCAAATAGCTCTACACATACTGATCTGAGTGGAATATAAAATAAGTTATAGAGCATTAAGTATAAACAGGAGAATAACGAGTCTTTTCAAAGCACTAACTGTGGTAATCGATGGGCACTGAGAACAGTACATATTTCTGAGCTTGAATTAAAATAAAAACAAAACTCCATTATCAAATTTTTTTCCTGCTGTACTTTAAATCAAACCCAGGACTTCATGCATGCCAGGCAAGTGCTCTACGACCAAGCCATAATCCCAACCCCTGAACTTGAAATTTTTTACAGTGCACATGAATTATAACTATATTCAAGAAAAATGAGGAGTAAAGGATGACATGCATTGATAGTTTTCAAAAGGAATTATTTTTGCATATACTTTCAAGGGAAACACTTGAAAGTTTTACTGAACTTAAGATTTTTAGGGATATATTCTCTACCTGTCTCTTGAGCAGATGGGAAACCCATGTGGCCTAGACAGGCCACACTGCATGGGGCCTGAGAACACATCTCCAGCACCAGGAGGGTTGGTCTGGGCTCTCTCCTACACACAGCTAGACCAGGTTAGCTGGTGCACCCTGTAACTCAATGCGATGATCTGTCGCAGCAGGCCTCTGAGGAGGGCACGAGTATCATGCGGAGGTGTGTACATGTGTGGGTGTCGGGAGGAAGAACAAGGAACCAGAGTTGGGTCTGTATGGGGCAAAAACATATATGGACACTTATGTAGAAGAGGAACTGAAGCCGAGACCCACAGAGGCTGACGGCAGCAGGGAGAGGACAGGAGAGTGAGGACAGAGGAGGCCGGTGTATCACGGGGTGCAGGGCTGAAGGTTGTAGGGTGTAAGGATGGGAGGTGTCCAGGCTGGCAGCCAGACTCGGGGTGTGGGATGGAACGGATGGTGAGGCCCTTGGCTGAACCAGGGATGCCAGAGGAGGCGTGAGGGAGAGAGGATGAGCCAGCTGTCCAGGAAGCACCTCCAGCAGCAAACGGCAGACCCTGGAGACCAAGAAACAGGGCAAGTTGGGAACCGCCGGTGGAGACCAGAGGGATCCAGAGGCACCCTCCAGAACAGGCAGGAAAGGGGTCCCTGGAGCTCACCCAGAGGGTCATAGGGAACAGAGAAGCCAGCAGCCTGCAGGGCACAGCAGCCAACATGTGTGACACTGCCAAGATCCAGCACACTTAAGGGAACAGACATGATCAGAGTAAGACAGAGAAGCAGGCTCCAAACAGCATTTCCCGTAATGAAGTGGTGGTGCTCCCCAGGATCCCAATAACTCAGGAGGCTGAGGCAGGAGGATCACAAGTCCAAGGTCAGACTTGGCAAATTAGTGAGACCCCCAGAGACCTGTCTCAAAAATTAAAAACAATAAAAAAGACTGGGGATGGGGGGAAAAGGCATTTCCTGTCTGATAAAATTTCCATACAAATTATATATTAAAAATCCTTATATCAAGAAATATCTATTAAAAATCACTTGGGTGCAGGGATAGAGCACTTGCTTAGCAAGCATGAGGCCCTGGGTTTGGTCTGCAGTGTACGCACACACGCGCGTGCACACCACACACACACACACACTCACACACCCCACCAGAAACCAAAACGGGCATGTCCCAGGATATATTACAAATAACTTTTTTTTCCTTTTCTTTTTGGTCCTGAGCAGTGCTTGGGATAGAACCCCAGGGCCTTGCACTTTCTAGAAAAGCCACACCTCTAGTCCTGTACAGGTGATTTTTATTCATCCTTTGTGTTTGTTTACCTATAATTTTCAAATATTCCACGGTGAACCTCTTTTGGTTTTATTAAAAAAAATAATAAGGCAAAACAAAATTCATCGGTGATGGTTTTGCTTTGATTTTCTTTGCGGGCCACCCTAACTACTGGTCTTAGAGGTTGAGGGCTGAGACAGTCTGGGACATCTTCCAGGAGCCACTAGGCCCCTCAAGCCCAACAAGTCCACCCAGGGTAGGAGAGTGAGGCACGACAGGAAGCCCAGGTGACCCTGGCCTGAGCCTGGCCCGACGGGAAGGAGCAGCAGACAAGGGGCAGGGGGCACGTGGCCGAGGGGGCTTCTCTGGCCTCAGGAAGTCAAGAGAGCTGCTGAGAACCAGTCAGGAGGGCAAGCAGAGGGCAAGAAGACTGTAGGAAAGGGGAAGGCGGGAGCTTGGTGGCCCAGAGCTGGTCCCTCCTGCCCACCCTCAGGACAGCTAGGCCCCCTCACGCACCTGAGCACGGACTCCACAAACACTCTGAGGGCCTTTATGTGAATCCAGGCAACAAAAGCCTCGCTGAAGTTCACCTTGAGCCAGCGCAGCAGGGGGCCCTGCAGAGACAGGACAGCCACATGACCCCTCCAGCCACTGGCCGAAAGCGACCCAGGAAAGGACTCAGGTGTTGACAGAGCAAGCCCTGAGCTGAGAAGAAATGCCCAGGAACCAGCAGAAGCAGAGTCGGAAGAGCCCCAGGGGAGGCTCAGGGCCACCGTGTCCAGGGCGTCGGGTGCTGGGGAAGCTCAGCCGGTCAGCCACCAGGCACATGCGAGGGGCCACCACAGACTGGGGCATGAGGGCAGGGCAGCCCCTGACCTCAAGGCTGTCGGCGGGCAGCTTCTGACATTGACCAGCCAAGGAGCCCACCTTCTGGGAAGGCCCCGCCCTTGGGGTCCTGGTACCATCCACCAACTGCCACTCCAGAGGTTTCTCAAGCCCCATCTATGGCCACAACAACAGCCACTGAGACTGGGGTGGCCGGTCCTCTGGGGGAGCTCAAGAGCCCCAAGCTTCCATCCGATAGCACCAACTGCCCACCAAGGTCAGGGGCAGGTCCAGCCAGGGCAGCCAAACAAGGAGACTGAGAGCTGCCTGCCACCACCCCCACCAGGGCCCTGCCCATCACCAGCCCCAGCCACCTGGCCAGGGCACAAGCACGCTGGCCCACAAGCACCATTCCCTGCCGGGAGGGGCAGCTCCAGAGGGGCCTGCAGATCAGAGGAAGGCGTGATTCCGGGCTCCTCGAATGAATTTAAGAACTCACAAGCCGGATGAGACAACAGAAATGCAAGGACGCGGTTTCTCAGAAGACACCTGAGCTGGCAGGGAGATGCGCGCAGGGACCCCCAGGACTCCCGGGGGCTGCTTACCTCGCCCTCGCCCTCACTCTCTCTCTCTCTGTCGGTCTGCCCCGCAGCAGGCCTATCAGGGTTCCCTAGCGGGGTTACCTTAACCTTGTGGTCCCGGAAGGTAGATGATCCCTTTTTAAGGGCAACACAGGAAGTTTGCTAAAGGCACAGAAATGATTTATTAATCTTTCAGCAAACATGCATCACAAACACACAGAATAATTCTCATTGCCCGAAGAGCTGTGACAGCAAGCACAGACACCCTGGCCCACCCAGGCACTCATGTACTGCCTGTTAGGATGTGGCAGAGCCAAAGCATTGGCTCCCGACGCCAGCAAGTGGGGCTGGTCCCACGCCACCTCCCTGCCTGGCCTGGGTCAACACCTCCACTGTCCACCATGGGCAAATAAGGACAGCACAAGAGGCACTAGTGGAAAGGGCCCCGCCTGCAGAGCTGGTCTGCCCGGGCTCGGTCACGGTGTCCCTGCCACACCCGCCACAGATGCCTCCTTGGCATTCACAGAGCACTGACGCGTGCCACGTGCAGAAAATTAGTCAGGCATGCTTGTGAGGCCACTTCACCCTCCATCTCCTGTCTCTGAAAGCAGGTGGAAAACAGGACAGTTCCACCCTGTGCTGTCAACGCACCCTGAAACTTGGGCCCTCTCTGTCGCCTCTGATGGAGGAAGCAGAAAGGATAACGATGCGGGGTGTGTCACTTCCAACCAGGCCAGGAGGAGAGCCATCTCCAGACAGCAGGGGCCGCCTGCAGCTGAGCCCCAGTCAGTCTCTGCTCACTGGCACGGCTTCCTGGGGCTCCACTCCCACCTGCAGGGAGCCCTGGCAGCCTCTCTGGGGCAGCGTGGGGGTGCTGAAGTCCACACCTCGTGCAGACAACACATGGCAGCCTGGCACTCAGTGGGCAACCTGAGCCCCACATGGCAGGTGGCAGGCGTCTTTGTGTCACCCTGACTCAAGAGAGCCTGGCAGATCTGCCAGCATGGAGGTGGGTGCCAAAGGTCCTACTTCACCACCTGTCCTCTGGCAGGGCTCTAACTGGACACATCTGGCCTCATCCAGGAACACCGTGGCAGTGTGGGGTCAAGACCATAGCGACCAGGGAAGGCCCAACTGAAGAGAACAGCAGGGCATTCGTGAGCAAGCGGGCATCGAGCAGGGACACCCTTGGGCTTGCTGTTCTCGGGCACTGCCTGGGTATGCCAGGCCTGTGACACTGCTCCAAGGACGGGAGCAACCTCGGGGGCACAGGGCCCAGCAGCCTTCCAGTCTGAGGAGCACAGGTGCACATTCGCTTGGTGCACACACGTGTCTCTGCTTTCGCTCCCGGGGAGGCGGCTAACCGTCCCCAGGCTGGGTTCGACGTCCCCGGCCCTGGCTCCTCCCCAAAGGGAAGCACCAGGGGGCTCCGGGATCCAGTCTAGGGGCTCCATGGCTCATGCTCTCTCCCGAGGTGGTGGCTGCTTTCCTGCCAAAGAGCACTGACCCAGGTCAAGGTGGACGTGCAGCTCCCCCGCCTTCTGCCTGACGTGGGAGGAGGCCCGGGGCGAACACCTGGCCACGTGTGCAACACTCCTGCCTGCTCTTCTCCCCAAGCACAGACACACAGCCTTCTGTTTACACACACTCCTCAGCAAGGCCTGAGCACATTCTACTCATTCTTCCCTCCTCTCTCCTCCTAAGAACCCTTCCCAGTAGGGATGGGGGAGAAGAGGCGGAGACCCTCCCATCCAGATGGGCTCCTTGGGATGCTCATCCAAAGAGGGGTTCCTCTGGGCTCTGCAGCTACAGGACACCCAGTCTGCAAGGTGCCCATTTTACAGAGAGGTGGCAACTCCCTCCAAACTACACTCTGGTCTCTCCAGTTCTTCTCCCTCGTGAGCCAGGCTGCCCCCTCCACAGCGTTTCCAAGTGGCTGTGATTGGAAGTCCCAGCTAAGTACCCTCTCTCTGCTAAGAGCACAGGGGAGGTCAATACAGGCACTGGTGACGCCCTGGAAGCCACACAGCCAAAGTCAGCAGATGACTGGCGCCATTCATGCTCCGAGGAGATGGCCACACTGGGCACAGAGGATTCATCTAGAGCCCACCTGCCCTGCGTGACCCTGGGGCTGCACTTCCCACCTGCAGGGAGACCTTAGGCAGGGTCCTCTAGCCAAAGGAGGGGAGGGCCTCAGTTTTGGTTCTCCTCTGCAGGGGGCTGATGACCCCTTCTGGTAAGTGCAGAGGTCAGGGCAGGCGAGAGCCGGTGTAGCGCGGCACAGTGTGGGCTCACGGTTCATGGCCCTTGGAATCACCTGTGTTCCTCCTTACCATCCTTTCCCAGACCTGCTCTCGAGGCCCTTGAGACAGCTGTTCCTGAAGGGGTGAGCCCAGGGGACACTGTGATTTAGAAGAGGGCATTCGCCCCAAGGGCCTTCAGGGGGCAGCTCATTTGTGTGAAATTCACCGCCTGCCTGGGATACTCACATACTGTTGCTTCTTATCAGACAGCAACCTGGTCATCTCTTCCCTTTCCCTTTTAATTTCTTTCTCATCATAGAAAAATTCACGAACAGTGAACCTGAAAACAAGAGCTGTCACTAAGAAGCTTCCAAAAGTGGCAGACACCCCCCACCCCCGGGGACACACACCAAACCTGGGGAGCCCACAGGGTGCGCCCTTACTTGTTCTCTTTGGCTTTGACTTTGAAATCATCAATCACTTTTCGAAACAGAGTCACTGTGAAGAGGCCACCCTCGTTGTCCTCGGCAATCAGTCTGTTGGGGAAAAGAATCCACACACTGCACCGTCTACCAGTGTCCCCTTGAGCCAGCTGCACTGGAGCTGGGCTCCCGGGAGGTCAGCCACTGCAGAGCTGGGCATGATGGCCATGCTGGGGGCCCTGGCAGCCAGGGGACGGGGAACCACAGGTGACCCTTATCGTTTCCTTGCTCCGGGTTGGCTCCCTCCTTCCCTTCCACACTCCACTCCAGCCAGGGCCCCGGAGCCTCCAGGGATCTGAAGGTGGGAGCCGTGGGGAGTGAGGAGGATGGGCTGCCTCCTGCTCACTAAATGGCTTTGGATCAAGTCCCTCTGGGGCTTCGGTCACGGAGGCTGGGCCAGGGAGTCCTCGGCACTCTTGCTTATAAGGAAGCAGGGTAGATTTCCAGTTGGTAGAAACCACCCCACAAGGTCCAGTTCACTTCCAATGTCACCAAGTGCCATATGGCTACCACAGCATCCCCAGCACGCCTCAGCACAGGACCACTGGTGTCACTGTCCCCAGGAACACAGGTGCTCCTGAAGCCAGTGGTCTACGCACCTCCAAGTCCCATTGGCCAGAAGCCCCTGATACTAGGAGTGCTGGGCAACGGCATGCCCCGGGCACATGCTGGCCTGGTCACCGCTCCTGTTTCTCAGAGCTCAGACCCACAGGAGCCACTCCCGTGCTCCACATCTTTCCAGAATCGTCTGCGCAGGTGCCCTCTGCCAAGGCAGCCCCGCCTGGCAAGGCTAGGATTCCTGGGCCCGTGCAGCAGGGAGCAGCAAAGCGGCCAGGCCAGCGGGCAGCTCTGAGGCCTCTCCTCCCCTGCACACACGCTGCCGGCTCACTCCTCCACCTCCCCTGTGACCTCAGGCAGTGACCGTCCTGTTCCTTGGCTCCTGATGGCCATCTCCAGTGAGTTAGTGGCCCTGGGGGAGCTACCTGCCACGAGGGAGCAGGCAGGGCAGAGGCCTCTAGGAGGGGAGGGGAGCAGGCAGCTCCGGGTGGGGTAAGGTAGGTGGGTGGGTGGCTCCACTCGGCGGCCTCCAAATCACAAAGCAGCTCAGACTCACAGAGGGGCCTCGAGGACAGCACACACCTGCGGACCCGCCGCCCTCTTAGGAGAGCAAGCCATTGCCGCACAGCAGAGAGGCCCCTGCTTCCTGGCCCAGCTGCACTCTGCTTAGGTCCCAAGGTCACCACTGGCCACCCTGAAGGTGGCGTTTCTCATCCCCACCCCTCCCCAGCTTCTCCTGTGCACTGAGTGTGCCCAGGGCACAGAGATGCCATCTGCCTACTCACAGACCTTTAGGAGACAGCAGGGCACTGGTGGCCTCCTGTGGCTTTTCCTCTGCTGCTCAGTCTGTTCCCAGCTCTCTGTCCCTGCTGACGCCAGGACTGGCCTGCTCGTGTTCCCAGCTCCGTGGCTCTCCACGTGGACACTGGCTTAGCCCGCTCCTCTCCTGTGCCTTTTCCTTTTTGAGGCACTGGGACGGAACCCAGGGGTGCTCCACCCCAAGCTACACCCCGGCCCTTTTTATTTTTATTTTGAGACAAGGTCTTGCTAAGTTGCCAGGCTGGCTTCAAACTTGCAAATGCCCTGCCTCAGTCTCTGGAGGAGCTGGGATTACAAGCATGTGCCACCACGCTGGGTGTCTCCTGTCACTTCTGGAGTGGCCACTGACCACTCTTCTCTGACCCCAGCAGATCACACACTGAGCCCATCTTCCTCTCCTGCTGGGGGCGGTGGCCACTCCCTGGCCAGCCACTGCAGCCAGGTCTTGGCTTGACCCTCAAGTGGAGAAGGTGGGTGCTAAGCCACAAACAAGAGTCAGGGGGCCCTGGAGGAGCCCCTCTGCTGGACAGCAGCCAGGGCAGCCTCCCAGAAGAGGGGCAGTGAAGCAGTTTCCAGAGACGGCAGTCTGGTGTGGGACCCAGAGGGAATTCCAGGCCAGGGACCCGGGGACCCTGGGCCAAACCGGGCTCTCACTTACTTGGTCGACCTGGGGACCACCATGTCCGAGAGGGATTCATAGGTCTTCCTCCACTGTGCATAGCTTGGCCTGTGGGAGCAGAGTCACACAACGCTGCTGGCAGAAAGGCTCCCAGGAAGCTGCACGGCAGGGACCAGGGAGGGCCCCTAATATCCCCAAGCCTGCCGAGAGGGTCCCAGGGCTCCTGCAGAAGGTCCCTATAGGAACTCAGCTGTAGATGTCTGCCTCTGACAAATGACTTCCTGATCCTGTCCCAGGTGACCTGTGACCATGACCACAGGATGAGGGAACGATCGCGGATCTCCCAGGAGCCCCTGTGCAGGAACGCCAGTGCCTTGGGACCCTCAGGGGCATCCTCTTCCTCACAGCTCCAGTCCCCAACGTGAAGCAAGGTTGGTGGCAGCAGAAGGGGCCCACCCTCCTCTCCACCAGGCAGTGCCAGTTTCCCTCTGCGATCCCCAAGCACAGGCCAAGACACCCCCCGACCCTTCACTCCCGGCCCACGCACTTGGGGACGATGACCAGAAGTGTGACGAGATACTCTGAATCCAGCACAAAGTCTTCTTTGCTCACAATGTCACTCAGTGTCCGAGTAAAGAGGTTCCCCCTGAAAGGCACGCAGAAGGAAAGGTGTGACCAGCAGGAAGGGCCACTGACCCTCACCCAAAGCCAGGCACCAGGGTGGGGCAGGCAGTAGCGGAGGCCTGGGAGAGGCGGGGCCAGGGCGAGCACAGGTCCCCACAGGCCGTCACGCTGCTCATGCTGGGCAGCCAGAGTCCAGCCTCCTCCCCTCCAGGGACAGGGAGGCTGGCAGGGCCTGGGCTTCTGTCACCAGTGTCTGAATCCAACACCTAAGTGACCTGCACTGCCCAGCACAAGCCACAAGCTATCAGGAGGGGACCTCAGGTAGCAGCCGCCGAAGCTACTCAAGTGTCAACACAGCGGCCAGCTGCATGGGCCACCCTGGGCAGAGATAGGCTTAGATAGAACTCCGTGTCACTTTACAGGCCTTTCTGTCCAGCAGCCAGGGGACACTCACCTGAAATAGCTTTGGACCTGCCCAGTGGACCTGGCCTGAACAAAGGGCATTGTGTTCACAGGGCATGGATCGTGGCGTCGTGTGGGCCAACACGATACGCAGCTACCAAGACCAGACAGCCAGGAAGACGCGGGAGTGGAAGCCGAGGCCAGGACTGCTCCTGCCTCCGGGCACCTCCAAGCCAAGGCCAAAGCTTTCAAGACAGCGGGAAACACCTTCCTCCAGAGCCCCACCAGCCCAGGAGCCTGTTCGCCTTCCTTCCTGCCTGCCCTGGCTTATAACATCGCCACACAACTGTGTGGCCACGGACAAATCCCTCGGAAGCCCTCCAGAGGCACCCAGCTACCCTGGCCCAGCAGCAGACACAGTCTTCTCAAGCTGGGGGACTCCTATTTGCCTCTGTACCCAGCGCGAAGCAGACTTTCTATCAATGTCTGTTGAATGAATAACCGTGACTCTGCAGGTGCAGAGAGTGTGTTTTATTCTGCTTTTCATCTTTAGGGCCTAATATTAGGCCCGAGGGTATAGTAAGCACTTACAAATGTGCATTGAAAGAAGAAAGGAAGCCGGCTGGGCTCAGCAGTGCATGCCTGTGATTCCAGCTACTCAGAAGGCTGAGGCAGGAGGATCTCAAGTTGAGGAGAGCCTGGGCAACTTCGTGAGGCCCTGCTTCAAAATAGCTCAGTGGTAGAATGCTTGCCTAGTATGTGCATGGCCCTGAGCTTCATCCCTAGTACCAAGAAAGAAAGAGGGAAGGGGAGTGGAGGGCAGGGGAGGAAGGAGAAAAGAAGTATCAGAGGAGGGAGACTGCTTCATCACCCTCTTTGTATGTTGCCCTCCTTCACTCAGTGTATGTGCTCAATAAATCAATCAAAGTGGCTAGGCCAGGCCCTAACCAATTTTTTTTTTGGTATGGGGGATTGAACCCAGGGCACTCAAACACTGAGCCACAGCCTCAGATCTTTTTCTTTTTTATTTTGAGACAGGGCTTCATTGAGTTGCTCAGGGCCTCACTAAGTTGATGAGGCTGGCCTTGAACTTGCGATTCTCCTGCCTCAGCCTCCCTAACTGCTGAGATTATAGGCGAGCGCCATCAACCAGTTAAGAAGCCTACAACTTGTTGATGCAGCAAGGAGGCGGCTCAGCATGCTCCAGCCCCAAGGTCACCATGCCACCCTGGACCTGTGCCAAGGTCACCATTTAGAGCTCACTGCCACACCTTCCTCCCGTCTTCTCTCTCATGTTCTGATATGTAGTCGGGCAGCAGTGATGGCTTCTAGATGAAGTGTGCTTTTCACTCTTTGGTTCTGATTTTACACTAAAAACTACACCTTGACTATCCCTTCTTTGAGATGCTTGGGTTTCAGATTTGGGGATGGTAGCAGGTACATAATGAGGTATCTTGGGGAGGGGGCCCAAGCCCAGCGGAAATCCTTTAGTTTCACATCGACCTTACACACCTAGCCTGAAGGTCATGTGGTACAGTGATCTCAGTATCTCTGCATTTCACTGTGACCAGAGTCATGAGGTCACATGTGGGATTGTCCACTCACGGCCCCATGCTGGGACTCAAAAAGTCTCCGATTTGGGGGCATTTTGCGTTTCAGATTAAAGACATTCAACATGTATTTGCTCTTGTCACCAAAAGAGCTAGCCCAGGGGCCCTCCAAGAGGGAAGCCCAGTAGGAGGTGACATTCCTGTGCTTGAGGAAGGCCATCAGGGGCTGGCAGCTGCTTCTGAGCCCTTGGGCCACTTCCCTTCTCTGGAGAATCTTCAGAAATCACCAACAGCGGGGCCCAGGGACCAGGGAGACTCGGGAGCTTCCCACGCCTGCCCCACCCAGTCCAGAAGCACCCCCGGGCCCTGCAGCAGCCTTCCTCCACCACCGGGGCCACCAACTCAGCGCGGCAGTTCCCGCCAGGGGTGGGTGGAATGGGCCTCACTTTTCTCCCGACAGCTGCACCGCGTGGGTGACGGGTCTGTCTGCCGGGCCCAGCAGCCCACTGCCTCACCCACCGTTCAGGTGGACAAACAAGGCACCCGAGTCCCTGTGGCCACTCTGCCAGGCAGGAGAGGGAAGATGCACCTCAGGGCACACGCTCCCTGCTGGGCACATACGAGGGGGTGCAACCACCTCCTCCTGCCCCAGGTCCCCTTAACGCAGCCCTGGCTCACGTTCCTCAGCTCAGGCACAGACTCTGGGTGTCCCCGCAGTGGGAAAGGCAAGCCTGAGACCCCCACGGTGGCGGTGGGCAAGGGTACGCACGTGGACCTCTTCTCCAGGTTTTCCAGGGTCGTCTTCAGGGCGCTGTAGGCTGCCGTGCGGGACTTCAGGTCCGACTCGATCTGTGCCAGTTGCTGTCGGGGTAGGAAACGCTCTGTCACCCCAAGTGATGAAGGAGGTGCCCGAATGTCTCAAAATAACCACCACGTGCTCAGGGGACATGTGAGAAAAGCAGCAGCCACCACCAGATGAGGTGGCACTCACCTGTAACCCCAGCAACTCGGGAGGCTGAGGCAGGGGAATCGCAAGTTCAAGGCCTGCCTCAGCAACTTAGTGAGGCCCTGAGCAACTTAGTGAGAAGCTGCCTCAAAATAAAAATGAATAAATAAATAAAAGAGCTGGAACATAGTTCAGCCGTAAAGCACCCCTGGGTTAGATCCCCAGGACCGAAAAGAAAAGAAAAACAGCTGCCCCCCAAATGGCAGGAAGAGGGGGCTTTGACCTCCCCTCCGTTTCCCTGTCATCCCAGCAACTGGGCCTATGGGGAGCCCACGCCCGGGAGGAGGAGGGGACAACACACCACTCTGTAGGCACTGAGGACCAAGTCACAATGACTTGTCAGCATCACACTCTGAGACCAGCTCTTTCCATTTCCAGCCCATGCCTCCCCAGCCGGAGCCCCGAGGAGCTGCGCCAGAGGAGCTGCGCCACACTCAGCCCTCACGGTCACCATCTCCAGCCTGTGTGGGCAGGACGTCGCTCCAGCTTCCAGGTGGACCCCCTTATCCTGGAGTACATTCTGGACCCAGGCCCACCTCCCGTGGGCTGGCAGGGAGAGTGGTCCAAGCCCACCGCTGGACGCCGGCCATCAGCCCCCGCGGAGCCGTTACACCCTAGACACCAGCAAACACAGCAGAGCATGGTGCCATCACTGAGATGGGGACATGAGATACAAAACATGGACAATCTGATTCTAAATATATATATATATATATAAAATATGTGTGTGGGAGGGAGGCTCCTCTTTGAATACTAGTGACCTTTAGAATGAAGGGCACAGGAGTCGGTGACGATCCTGCACTTACTGCACAGCCACACTGCACAACTGTACTACCCCCGCTCACTGCACACCTAAAGTGCACAAATGAACACCATGCTGCACTTGCTACCCAGCTGTGCTGGCAACTGTACAACCCAGTATACCATTCACCTCCACCATGTGACGTTCAGCTATAGCGCTCTCTACTGGTGCGCGGACAACTGCACTCCATGCAGAAGACCCCGGAACAGTGTCATCACCAAAATGATTCTTTTTTTTTAGTGCTGGGGATTGAACCCAGGACTTTCTGCATGTGAGGCAAGCACTCTACCAACTGAGCTACATCCCCAGCCCAATCTTACTTTCTAATAAAATATTTATACTTTTTTTTTTAAGTGAGCAGCTGTTCAGTGGTAGAGCCCCCCCGCCATGCACAAGGCCCTGGGTTGATCCCCAGCACTACCAAAAAAAGTAAAATGAAAACAACAACAAAATCACTGTTTATCCTTTTTTTTGATTACACCATAAGCCAGAGAAAAGCTGCTGAGGGTGCTTGGACACCAGCCCGACAGCGAGAGCTGAGGCCTGGGACCCAGTGAGGCCCCATACACGCCAGGTCCAGCTCCTACTGGTGGGACCTGGTGTAAGCTCCAGGACCCCGGAGCCACATCCACAGGACACTGAGGCAACTCGGGGGCTTCCTTGGAGGAGGAGGTCTCTGGCTGGCAGAACCAGACCTCTTGTTGGAAGAACTGGGGTGTCACGCAAGGGTTCCTGGTGCAGGAAGGACAGAGGGAGCTGCTACCCCACGGCTCTGCCCCAGCTGGCCCTGTGGTGGAGCCACCAGGGCTTCCTCGGGCAGCAGCGCCATGCACACAGCTCAACTCCTGGGCTTTGGTCCCGGGAGCCGGGCTCCCCTCCCCGCATGCACCTCAGCACTGCTGGGCACGCCTTGGCCTCTCAGCTACTTCTCATCTGAAATCAGAGGACACTGGACCCACTTGTGGGTGAGGAGGGAAGTAAGAGAGCCTGGCAGGGCTCCCAGAGCTATCAAAACCAGCGCCTCCTCCCCCTCCTGCCCTGCTGTCCTGCCAAAGCCACTCAGGTACCCTGGACTAGAGAGAAGCCTGGCCTCCGCCCCAACTCTGCTGCCTGCTACGTGCTCCGGGGGGCCTCCACTGGATCTAGCATCCCTGGACTCTGAATTCCAAGCTGGTACACGGCGAGGCAGGGCAGGGCAGGGCCCGCCCCACAAACAACCATGTGCTCTGGCTCCGTGGTGGACGTGCACAGTAGCCTCCCAGAAGCTGCACCTGGCACGGGTACCTGGGCAGCCCCTCCTTGAAGGGCCTTTCAGAATCACCGCCTGATTGTCGTGGGAGGAGCTGGGACCGTGTGATGTAAGCACTGCTCGCAGGAGCCGATCCCCAAGCAGTCTGGCCTCACCCCTGTTCTCAGGGGACCCGCAGGGGAATGGAACCCATGTCCCCCAGTGACCCACCCGCCACACTCAGGGGACACTGTTCCTTGCAGTAGAGAGCAGGACAGCTGTGTTTCTGGCCACGCGGAGACCTCCTTTCCAACTACCAGGTCCAACAGTGGCTTCGTGCTAGTGGCAGGAGGGAGGGACGGGCCATCAGCAAGTCAGCGTGCCCCGAAGGCATGCAGGAGCCATGGTGTCCCTACAGGCCTGCACTGTGCAGTTTTTATTTCATCAAGTGTGAGCCGGAGGCCACAGCTCAGTCTGTCACAGGTGCCATCTATCCATTCGTAGTTGTCACGGAGGCCGGGTGACAAGCGGGCACACCATCTCTGAGGAGTTGGGGCTCCTAAGACAAACTGCTAAAGCAAGTGGGTTTTGCATGTAGATAAGCACCCAGGGGATGGGCAGCCGGTGCGTAGGGTGGGCGAGGGTGGGGCTGAGCTTCCTCCGCTGAGCTTCTGTAAAGAGAGGCAGGGCAGCAAGGCCAGTGGGGACTGCGGTCAGGGACGAGAACACAGGAGACTTGGGCCCTTGAGCAGATTGTCCTGTGAGACCACAGCCAAACCCCAGGGTAGCAGGGACAGGAGGGGTGTGACACGGCCTCTCCCAGGTTCAGATCTTGCCCAGGCCATGGAAGGAGATGCACCTCAGAAGCCCAAAGACCCAACGGAGCAGGGTGAGGGGCCCCTACGCAGGGTCACTCACTGGACTCCACATCTCAGATGGCCGGATGTTCTCAAAGGCCCTTCTCACCTTGGCTAGTGTGTCCACCACGTTCACCAGCGGCTGCTTCGCAGGGTATTTGGCCATGTCCCATTCAAAATGGGTCACAAAGGATGTCAGGTCAACTGGAGGGACACAAACACAGGTTGATAAATGGATGCCACTTTCTGTGTCTCCCAGGGTGGTGGCCGCCAAATTCAAGTGAGCTCACCACTCACACCAAGGAAGCGGCCTGAGAAGCCAGCCGCAGGAGCCCCCTCTGGGGATGCACACTCCCCGTGGGCCTAGAGGTCTGAGCCAGTGGGGCCACCAGCCAGAATCCAAGTCCTCAGCAGCCAGAGGAAGGGGCCTCGCCGCCCCAGGGGCCTGCGTCAGGGGGCCTGCCTTCCAGAGGCCAGCAACATCCAAGGAGGGCGCAGCTGCTCCTCGCCTTCCCGAGCTGCTCCGGCTATCCTCCCACGAGGTCCAGTGAGCCCAAGGCTCACCAGAGAGCATCAAGCCAGCCAGAAAACCACAGAGTCCACGGCCTGCCAACAGGGGACACCGGCTCAGAGGACCGTGTCTCCTGCCTCCTGAGCCCAGGCAGGAGACAGGGCAATTTCAACCTACGGGGTCCACTTTAAAGGCATTTTAATCATTTGCCAAAGGGTGTTTCCTCCTGGGACAGAGGCGCGATCAGCACATCCTTCTCACAAACGCTTCCGCTGAAAAGAGCACACGGGTGATCCCATAAATTCCCTTTTTCCCTTTTTTTTCTCCAAAACCAAACAATGCCTGCTGCCCTCGGGGTGCATCTATCTCCCTCTGGCAGCCAGGCTGGGGACAGCTGGAACTGGGTTAGGCTTCTGCTGGCCCAGAGCCCCTGGGCCTCAAGCCAGGAGGAGCCCCGTGGATTCCCACCTGAGGAATGGAGCCGCCCACACAGGGCCTATCTGGATGTTCTCTATGCACATTCAGAGAGCTGAGGGCTTATCCAGGTGCTATGCCTCTTTTTCTTTTTTTTTTTTTTTTTGCAGTGGTGGGAGGAGGTCTTGCTTTGTTGCCAGGCTGGCCTCAAACAACCCCCCTGCCTCAGCCTCCCGGGCGGCTGGACTACGGGCACCCACCACTGCGCCAGGCTCGCTGCATCTTTTCCGTGTCTGCTCTGTGGCAAAGCAGGAAGCTCAGTAGATGATTCAGGGCTCAGAGCCCCTAGAACCCCCCAACCCTAGCAAGATGGCCCTTTTGAGGTCAGCTATCACCCCGCCTTGCTTCCCAGTATAGCCTTTTGCATAAGAAAGTGGATGGTCCTCTCTCAACACTCAGTCCCCTCTGTCTTCATGGAGCCTAGCTCCACCCTGTTGGGGATACAGACAGACTCCCTGGCCAACCTCAAGTGCTCCGAGTGCAGGGCACTCAACTAGGGAAAGGCACACAGTGAACTGCTGAGCTGGGGACAGGACGCAGGTGCCGGGAGGCTGAGGACAGGGTTCCGGCTCCTCCTAGGGAGGGCACAACTGCTTTCCTGGACCCAGACTCACACAGAGGCTGAAGGGAAGAGGAACCAGCCATGTGGCTGGTGAAGGAGGCATCGGAGTCAGGAGTCAGGAGGACTGGCAGCCCCACGTGTACATGGGAAGTAGAGCCTCTGAGCGAGGCTGAGGGTCCAGGGAGATGGATAAGAACTGGACAGGAAGGCCAGGCCGGCGCGAGGGTCCTAGGGCCTGATCCTGCGCATGCCAATACTAGAGCCCACGTACTCAGCCCTATCGAGTGCCAAGTTGGCCAAGATCACTCTCACAGCTGCAGTGCTGAATGTGGGCACCACTGAGCCCCCAGAGTCGACCGGACTCTAGCCCACTGTGGAGACCTCTCTGTGGTGGTGAGGAGAGAGGACCACAAGGGTGTGGGAGGGGAAGGCAAAGAAGCCCTGGGAGGGGGGAGGAGGGACCCACTTGACGGGATGCAGGGCTAATGACACATGGAGGTGCGAAGGCGGCCAGGCGACACCCAGATTCCAAAGCTGGGTGACTGGGTGGAGGGAGGGAGGTGCACGGAGCTGGGCACCCTCGGGGGCAGTGGCAGGGATGGGGCAGAGGGCAGGGGGATGATTCCAGCCCAGGATGAGCCTGAGTTTGATACGTGGGTGGCAAGTCTCAAAGAAGCCGATGGAAACCCAAGGAAACTCAGGCAGGAACTGGTCGGGTGGCAGAATTAAGGGCCCTTAAGAGAGAGAGAGGAAATGCCTCTGAGTCATGCAGATGGTGATTCTGTCCATTAAGGTCGCCAACATTTACTGATTGCTGGGCTTGGGCCAGGACACGTGAATCATTTCATATAACTCACTTTCCAGCCCTATTAAGTACGATTATTCCATGAGGAAACTCTGGCACAGGGAAAGTTACGTAAGCTCCATGACAAAAGGAGAAAATGCTTGCAAAGCACCCAGCGCCCTGGGTGGCACACAGCTCCCTTCCCCATCAAGTGTAACCCTCCCCCTTCCACTGCAGGTGGAAGGGGGAGGGTTACACTGCCACTGTCCCTTTCCCAAGAGCCATATCAGATATTTTCTAGAATCCCCAGATTTGAAAAAGATCCTTAGGAGAATTCTTATGTTTCTAACATTGGTGCCAGAATCGATAAGATCTGTGCGTCTGTAAGAAGGGACATCAGAGAACTCCATCCACACACATAGCAAGGAAGGTAAGGGACACAGTGAGGAGGTGGCCATCTACGAGCCAGGAGACCGCCCTGTCAGACGCTTGGTCTTGGACTTCAGCCTCCAGAACTGTGAGAAAACAAACGTTGTTCACGGTGCTCAAGTGTGCAGAATTTGGGGACAGTAGCCCAAGTGGACTAGACAGATTTTGGTGCTGATTTTGGCCCTGACACACCATGGTGGGAAAATGACTTCGTAGAAAAGACTTGGGCCTGGGAGGAATGGGATGGGTATGGCCGATGAGAGGGGGAAACGCATGCAGAGGCTGACGGAGAAGGTCAAGGGGACCCCTCGGGGCAGTGATGGCAATCGATCCCCCTGGCTGAACCCACTGTGGACATCATGGAAGCTGACCTGCCACGGTGGTCCCAGTCCATCCCCAAGGTGGGCAGCCAGCCTCACGGCGGCCGAGCAGCAGCCCGCGTCGGGTGACAAGGCAGATGTGCGCATTTAGATCCTCCCGGTCCTCCTTGTCACTGCAGCACCCTGGGGCCCTTCCACTCCAGTGGAGCCACTCTCACCCCTTCCCCCTCTCGCCGCTGCTTTTATCCTTCAACCCACAGGTTAGATGGAGGCCAATTCCTTCTGGAAGCTGCCCTGATTGTCCCTCCTGTCTGGTTCCATGATACTAAGGACATGCCAGGCTACCCGCCCCTCACTGCTCCTTTAGGGTGGAGCCTCCGACTCGCCTTCTCTGTGCCTCCCGGTGCCCACGGAGCTCTGCGCAGGGTGACTGCTCCACTGCCCGCTCTGAACACTGAGAGCAACCCCCGCCCACCCCCCGCCCCGGGCAACAACTTGCACTCACGTTTCTGACCAAGCTCTTCTCCCTGTGCCTTCTCACCAAGCCCTAAGCCTTACGGCACCCACACCAAAGGGGTGAGTTCCATCCTGGCACACAGGGCAATGCACGCTCAGAGGCAAAGGCTGTGGCCATCACTGGCAAATGGCCAGCAAGAGCTTGGTACCCACAGATGCTCAGCAGTGCCCAACACGATGCTGGACAAGGACTTCCCTGCAGGAGCTCCAGGAGACCTCTGGATTTTTGACCATGTCCCCCTGCTCCTCCACTCTCTCCCATGTCCTGAACACCAGTGCCAGCTCCGGACACTGACCCTTGCCCCAGGCCAGATACCCAAGGACACTTCCCTGTCCCTGTGCACTGCTTCTGGTGAGAACGCTGTTGGAAGAAGGCCCTCCGCCATCACGGCCTTCCTGACTGCGGTTCTCTTTCCACTGCTCAGGAAAGGAAGGCCCCCCACCCTCTGCCTGCGCTGGAGTCAGTGAGGCCCGGTCCCTGGAGCAGGCAAGGCGGAGCCTGGGCTGACGGCCTGCTAGGTCAGGCCGTGACCTGGCTGGCTCACTGTGCACAGGCTGCCTGTTGTGAGCAGCAGTGGTCTCATCTGAAGACCCAAACCAGGCCTTGCCAGCACACAGGACTGTGACCACGGGGGCTGTGCCCTTGATGGGTTAGCCAGACACGCCCAGTGTTTCCATCCTCTGCAGACATTTTAGGACCCAGGCCAGACAACGTGCTCCTTCTCCACGGCATTCACACACATCTGTGTCCTGCCGTGCTTAGCTCAGCGGCAAGCAAGGAACGAACAAAAGCAAAAGGTGTCCAGGCAGAGCTAAGGGCCTGTCAATGGCTATTAAATCCATTTACAGGTGAGAAAAACAAGACCAGAGAGACGACCAGCCAAGGTCCAGATGAACACTGCGTATCAGGGCTGGTCTGACCTGCTGCCGGCCCTTCATGGGATCGGCCATGAATTCCCCTAGAGGAAACTGGATTACAATCCCACTTTGGGGGGCAGGGGCCAGGGGGTCAGCAAAGAGCTTCTCTGGTTGATTCTGTCAATCACTAATCTGTGGATGCCTTGCAGGAGAAGATTTCTTCATTTGGCTAGCACTGCAAAAACTCTAGTCAAACTCGCTTGTAAAAGGTCTCTGGCCTGCAGGACTCTTCAGAGATTCTAATATGATAATGTGCATCAGAAGGTTCAGAAGCTACTGTGAGTCCTGCCTCCCATCCGGGTCTTGGGGCAGGGATGGTTTACAGAGCATGCTTTGGAAACTCTGATCCTGAAGTCGTCAGGGCCCAAGTCGCAGGAGGCCTAAAATGGAACATTTTAAACAAAGCTGTTTCCTCCTGTGGAGAAGCCAGCTGCCCCTCAGAGTTCGTGCCATCGGACCGGGGGTGACACCTACCTTCCAGCAGCATTAACTTTGAGTAACTGCTTCCTGCACAGCTGGCAATGCGAGGCGAGGCGGTGGCCTGCCGTGGAGCCAGCCCCGGCCCCAGAACGTGAGCATCTCAATCACTCTAACGTAAGTTTAAACCCTCGCGCCCTACACGCCAGGTTTTTGACAGAACAGTGACTCTCCACCTGGTCAGCTTTTCAGTCCAGGGCCCTAGAATCGACTGCTGGGAAAAAAGATCAGCTGGTCGACTTGACAAGACATTGCTACCTTACCGTCAGCAAGAATCTCAGTGTGACAAGCAGAAGGCATTGGGGAAGGCGATTGGTCACCTGCGATTTGTAAAGGTTTTTAGTTGTCCCCAGATGACTTGCTCTTTCAGTCCACCAGTTGAAGCACACTGGAGCAAACCCAAAGCAAATGGCTCCTTCTGGCAATGGCACCAGGAGGGAGCGCCACCCCGGGAGGCTGCTCGCGTGTGGGAAGCTCGAGGCTGCCTGGCAGAGCCTGGCATTTAAGGTGCTGTGTCCACTAAGCAGATGGCCTCAGAGAGCAGGCCACAGGCAGAGGAGCAAGAGCCCAACATCCAGGGAGCAGGCAGAGCTACCCCGGGAGGGCGGGGTGCCAGAAGAGTGAGAAAAAGCATTTGGCTAGCACTGCAAAAACTCCAGTCAAACTCAGTTTTAAAAGGTCTCTGGTCTGCAGGACTCTTCAGAGCTTCTAATATGCTAATGTGCATCAGAAGGTTCAGAAGCTACTGTGAGTCCTGCCCTCCCACAACAGCTGCTGTGTCCTACGGATACAGTGACCAAGCCACCAGGCTCTTACTGGAGAAACTGCCATGACCTGGTCACTGTGCCCCACAACCAGACAGATTCCACCTCCCCAGGGACATGCAGCATCACTCTGAACACAGGCACAGCAAACAGAGCACAACCTACTCTTGAGACATTTCATGTTCTCCTTCACACCTGCAACACAACAAGGCGGGGTTGTTAGACCACGGAGACAGACGAAGCCAGGCCAGACTTGCAAGAATGCACATTTCTACTTATCCGTTCAAACCAGCAAATTAAAAGCCTTTTAGTGTTTCTAGAAGGAAGGAAGTATGAATATATACATATATATACACACACACACACATACATTTGTGTGTATATATTCTGTGCATGACAAATGATATAAATTTAAATGTTTGCTCTCATTTTCAATGAACATGCACAGTCACAGGTTTAATTATCTCTGTGGATATTTAAACATTTAATTCTAAAGTTTCCAAAGTCTCCAAATTTTTGTCTTGAACATTTTAAAAGCATTCAAATTGCACACATGCCCAAGCATCACTGGAATCTAAAGACACATCCCGTCAGCACAGGGAGACCAAAACTCCAAGCAGGAATACACTACCCAAGCATTCTGGGGGTGGCTCTCTGTTTCCTATTTATTGCTCAGCAACTAAACCCTCGCTGGAGGCCCGCCTGGGTGCATCGGGCATTTCCCACAGGTTGACGTGACCAGAGTGCAGGGAGGCGCTCCTGAGAAACCAGAGCCCTGGGCACCTACCTCCGTTGGCCAGCAGGTTCTCCTGGACTTTCCCCTTGGAGTCCTCCATGACCTCCACTACACTCTGAGCCATTCTCTTTATGAGGCTGTGGGGAGAGAAGAAAGAGCCCATGAGAGCAGGAGCCGCCGGCAGAACACACCTAGGACCGAGGCTGGCAGGGCCAGGCACAGGCGGCCTTTGGGGGAGCAGCTTGGCATCCGTGAGAAGGGACTTAAAATGTGAATAGCCTTTGAACCAGTAATTCCACTTCTGGGAAACCATTGTAAGGAAACAGGACAAACAGAAAAAGCTTTCTGAATAAAAAGATGTTCTTTGCAGCATTGTTGCTGACAGTGAAAAGCTGGAAACAAGCAGAAGGCTCAACAATAGGGAATTGTTTAGGGCGTAATGGTATATCCAGCTGAGGGATTATTAGGCAGCCATTGAAAATAAGGTTTACAAAGAATTTTGAATACCGTGGAACAAGGCACGCATTATGAAGTCAGGCGGAAAAAACCAAGAAGTGAACTTACACAGACGGTTATGGTCGCTGGCTGCACCTGCAAAACTCTTCTTCCTACCTGACGTCTCCCTATCGTCATCTGCTATTGCTTTTATATGAGAAAATTAAAACCTGGCCTCCACAAGACAGACACCTTCGGGAAGTACAGGATTTAGAAGCAAAGGGCTCAAATTCGCCCTGGCTCTGCCAAGTGCCAGCTGTATGGTTTGGGCCAAATTGGGTGAATTTCTTTTGAGCCTTGGTTCTCCTACCCATAAGATGTGGATTATGCCCCATTTGGGGGATTACTATTGCTATAACTAACAGCAATGATCGCCCAGCGGCAGGAGGCTGAATAAAGAGAAATCCAATTGGAATCCAATTGCCAAGCCAGGACTGACTGGGAATTTCTAATGTTCGAAGCTTTGCCTTAGGCCCTCTCCCCAGGGAAAGAGGACCCAGGTCGCCAAATCCCACATGGAGCCCAGGGTCCTCCACTGTCACAGGCACTGGCCACATGGCCACTTAGAGCATGGAGGCTTGGTTCAAAACATGGAAACAGAGGCAGGAGACTACCTGGAAAGGACCATGATAGAAGCAAGGAAAGGAAGGAGGGCAACAACTTGTTTTCCTGACTATTAAATGAATGCGCACGTGATCAAAAACTGATGAATACAAAGTTTGTTTAAAAATAACCACCAGGCTGGGGAGGCAGGCTCAGGGGTAGGGCATCTGCCTGGTGTGCACGAGGCCCTGGGTTGCATTCCCAGCACCAGAGGCAACAGCAAACTCTCCACACCCGGGAGGAAACACAGCATCCTGAGTGTTTCCAAGGCTGAACCCCTGCGTAGTTTCAGGGAGCTGCGGTCTCCCGGCAGCAGCTCGCTTCCTCTAGAGCCTACCAAGTGTCGACATTCTGTAGCCATCATCTCACTTAATCTTCACAGAAGTTTCCAAAAGGTGGAAATCGCCCCACTTCACAGATAGGAAGCTGAGGCTCCGAGAAGTAATTTTCACCCTCCCATCCAGTCCGTATGAGGACTTCAAAGGCACGACTCTCAGCCAGCAGGTCACACCAACACCTGGACAGTCACTGTGACCTGGTCCATGTTGAAACTTCTACCTGGCTGGCAGCTCTGAGAATAGTGGTTACGGTGTCTGTGTCTCACACATATCCTGAGCCAAGGCACCTGACCATCGCAGGATCCTGAGCCAGAAAATAGACAGGACGACGCACCTCACAGGGTTCTTCGTGGAGTCTGGGGCAATATATGTATGCAAAGTCTGAGTCGGGTGGGCTTTTGTGACGGAGACCTTGAGATATGCTCAGGTGACTGGCGAAACTGTTTGGGGCTCCTGGCTTTGCTCCCAGGCGGATTCCACAGAGGTTAAAGGAGGCAGAGCCCAGGTCCCTCCCTGTTGGAGTAACCTCGGTCCTCCTGTCTCCTCCCGCTGTGTGGTTGGGAGTCTCCAGCAGCTGGGGACCCTGCACTGTTCCTTGTGGCTTCTCTACAGCCCACACAACTCGGGGTCCCTCTGTAAGTCCACCCTCCTCAGGTTCTCTTACCTTTTCTTTGTGGCACTGGGGGTTGAACACAGAGCCCTCTCCCACTGAGCTAGCCCTTTTTATTTTGAGACAGAGTCTCAATTTGTTGAGGCTGGCCTTAACTTGTGATCTTCCTGCCTCAGCCTCCTGAGTTGCTGGACACCACCTGGTTCAAGTGATCCTTACATGAGTGGTCTTCTGTTCTCTGTTGGGATCCCGATTCAATAAATTTAATCATTCATTCAGTAATTCCCATATATTAAGCAACTACTGTATACCAAGCACTGTACAAGATGCTGTGGACAAAACAAAGTCCCTGTGGTCACTGAGCTCCATTTTAAAGCTGCCAGTGGTGTTTTTTTAATCCCTATGTTGACATGTGCAAGTTACTGTCGCCGATCACCACATCTGCTAGGACACTTGAGGAATTATCTGTTGATGTGACTGTGGTAGTAATTCCAGCCCTGACCACAGTGCCTGACTCAAGGTGGCTAGCTGCACAGCCTCTCCATCCCTCACTCCTTCCTTCTGCTCTAACAGACAGAACTCACCCAATATTGTGTTAAGGATCCTTCACTGCTCTGTGTCCCAACCCTGTCAAGGTGTTCACTGTGGCAAGTGAGGCCCTTAGGCATGCACAGAACACCTGAAACCTCTGAGAGCAGCGTGCTCTGAGAACGCTTAGCTGCTAGAAACGTCTCTTGTTCCACCTAACACACACAGCCCCACCTAGCCGTGGCCATTAGCTGTGGTCATCAGTGAACTGCAGCTATGGAGCCAGACAGCTGGTTTTTCTCATTGGAAGGGACCCAAGCACCTCCACACTTGTCAAATCCACTGTCCCCACTTTGCAGTCATTAGGAACACTGACCACGGTCACACCCTCCTCCACCCCGTGCTGGATGCACAGCATTCCACTAACTCCCTCCCTGGACACCTGGGGTGCCTCCTTCTTTTTCTTTTTTTGTACCAGGGGTTGAACTCAGGGGAGCTTAACCACTGAGCCACACCCTCAACCTCATTTGATATATTTTATTTTGAGACTGGGCCTTGCTAAGTTGCTGAGGCTGGTTTTGAACTCAAGATCCTCCTGCCTCCAGAGGCTTCCTGAGGCTGAGGCCTCCCAAGTCGCGGGGATTTGCCTCCTCTTTGACATGACGCCACATGATACATTTACGCTGCCCATGCACGGGTGCATATGTGCGACATGAAATAAAGGATATGACAGCTTCAATTTTAAGAAGTAAGGCCGACCCCTCTGACCACACGCCAACGTCCGCTCGCCAACGTCCACTCCCACCAGCAGCCTGCTTCCCTAAGCCTCGCCAGCATGGGCGTCAGGAGCCACCGGAACCTCCGCCAATCTGACAGCTTAGAACTTACATCTGGCTGATGCCCCGATCTGCGCTTCGACCCACTGGACGTCTTTCCTCATGTTTATTAACTCTACCAAAGGCTGTTCGCGTCTTCTGTGAGTGACGTCTTTATGTCCCCTGCCACTGTTTCTGTGGCTTGGTCCTCTTTTTGAAATTCTATTTCATTGATTTGTATGAGCTCTTAGGTATTTTGGAGACCAATTCTTTGAGACAGTGTTTTGTTCTAGGTGACATTTCCATTGTAAGATAAAAATATTAAGGCTCAGGGGCACAGCATTTGCCTAGCATGGGCAAGGCCCTCTGTTTGATCCCCAGCATCTCACACATGCCAAAGCCAGTAAAGACGAAAAAATTAAGGCTTAGTTAAAGGTAACAGTAAACAAGTGCCATTATTATTGTACTTTTGTAAACAGGGAATTTGACAGAGTAAACGAATGTTGAACCAGACACTGATCACAAATCTGCACAACTCCAAAGCCCATGTGCTTCAAAGCCAAAGTAAATTCTGGCACCTTTCCCTATAACACCTGGCAATAATAATTATCAACTCATAAGGAAGATGTACAAATCATGAATATCATACAACATGTGTATATATACATGCATATATAAATATGTATGTGTATATATATGTATATATTATATGTATGTATATATATATATATATATATATATATTTTTTTTTTGGTGTTGCTAGGGATTGAGCCACTGAGCTACATTTCCAGTCCTTTCTATCTATTTTATTTTGAGACAGGATCTCACTATGTTGCTCAGGCTGGCCTCAAAATTTTGATCCCCCTGCCTCGGCCTCCAGAGTGCTTGGGATTGTAGGCGTGCACCACCATGCCCAGCTCAGATCATATTTTTAGTGAAGAGCAACTGCAACAATACACAAAAATCCCAATTTGGCTGTTGGTTACATGAAAGTACATATTTGTCAAAACTCATCCAACTGTTTACTTAAGATGTGAATATATAACTTTCACCTTAAAGCAGATAGTACCTTAATCATGTGAACAAAGTTAACACCACCCACACAGAAGCAACCACGTGTGCCCCCAAAGGGTGCACCAAGGACATGGTAACCCTTCTGTGCTCTTCTTGCCAGAAATACACAACCTGAGACTAAGCTGGAGGAAACATCAGGTGAGCGCAAATTAAGGAGTATTTCACAAAACTGACCTGTACAGTTAAAAGAAAAAACAAAACAACGTGGTGTCATGACATACAGAGAAAGTGTAAATACATGTTCCAGTTTGATCAAAGCCAAAGAGAACTGATAATTCATTACAAGACAGGAAGCCACCTCAAGGTTCATCATTGTCTAAGAAACTGCAAGGTTTCCTTTGGCTGGAAGTATACCATGGAGACACATGGTGATATCCAAGTGACAGCTGTTAAATATCAGTATTGCCATCCTGGCCTGGATCACCACCCTAAGACTGTGTAAAAGAATGTCCTTGTGTTTACACAATACACACTAAAATATTTAGAAAAGACATTGTGTCTGCACCTCACCATCAGAGGGATGGGGGAGGAAGAGAGAAAGGAGGTGATAAAGGGCTTACGGGAATTCTTCAAATAATCTTGCAACCTCTCTGAAGCTTTGAAGTTAGCTCAAAATGAAAAGTTTTAAAAAAATATTAAATATGTTAAGCATGTTATAATACCACTTTAAAAAT